TAAAAAGAAAAGGCAACCCCGTGCTCCTCACCCTCCCCGGACACTTACGTAAGAAAATCTACAAATACATTTTCAACTCAAGTGATTGATGGGTAATCTTGGTAAGTTAAATATACGCTCCGCAGTACTTAAAACGAAGAAACAGCGAGCTTTGACGACATAGTAAGTCACAGATCAGCACTAACCATATACAATGTCCACATCAATCGGTCTTTAAAATTACCACTCACTAGATCTATCTAATGCAATAGACTCTTATGCTGATACATTTCTGCGGAAACCTCGAGACTTGCCCTTTCCGTTTTCGGTCCGACTTCACGCCGCTTTTTGCTCCCTGAGCAGCCCCGAGCGTATCTGGAGCATGGTGGTGCGTATCCAGAGCGACCAGGGAGCGGCACCGGAGCGATCCTAAAGTGGTCCCGGAGAGATTCAGGATCGTACTCTGATTGCTCAGGCTAGGATCAGTTTTCGAAATCAGATTATCTCCCAGACTCTCATGCTGTGTTTCTCGGCCCGTACCGGGAACCGCACTAACCCGTATTGGGTTAGTTAAAAGACAACCCCTGCTTACTCACTATCAGAACTTGACACCACTTATCTATAATATTGCTGCTGTTGCTCAAAAAGCCATTTCTCTTGTTACCATACGTCCAAATCTACCTTGTTCAAATTCTCCTTTTGCGCACTAATTATGTAGCCCTAATGCATAGTCCGCGAACTCCTTTGTTTTAAACCCATATAATTGCTCCTGCACGTAATGCAGCAGCATGTCCCTATTCTTTTGCTGTTCTCAGTAACAGTACTCACTTAAATTTTTTCTACTTAAAGTGTCAAGTATTTCCAATTTATGTAGTTCATAAATACTTGTGTGTGTGTGTGTGTGTGTGTGACTAATCAATAATTTGCATAACCAACTAGTTTGAATTGGTATAACCTCAGGCAGAACCACACCGCCTTAAGATAGCATCCAAAATTTTATCACCGCCATCATCGCATTCGCAAAAGCTATCCAAATCCTATTATAATAAACCAAAAGAAATACCTCAAAATGGTCCGTCAATTCAAGCACCACGAGCGGAAGTACGTCTCCCCCATTCCCAACCCCATCATCTTCTAAGAGAATAAACTAACAAAGTCCAACAGACTCCTTCGCAAGGTCGACTTCCACAACTACAAATCCGAAAGCGACCACCGCGAACACACCGTCCGCGCCCGCTACCACCTCCAAGATCCTTCCGACTACCGCAAATATAACGCGCTCGCCGGATCCCTGCGGCAACTCGCGCACAAGCTCTCCGCGCTAGACCCCGAGGCCGACCCTGTCAGAAAACAGATTGAAAGCGATGTGTTGGAGAAGTTGTGGCGGATGGGGGTGTTGAAACAGAATCGGGAGCAGGGAGCTGGACTCTCCAGGGTTGAGAGGGAGGTTACTGTTTCGGCATTTTGTAGGAGGAGGTTGGCGATTTTGATGGTTAGGAGTGGGATGGTGGAGAATGTTAAGGCTGTATGTTTTTCCCTGTCCCTGTCTCTATCTTTGCCTCATGGGTATTTGGCTGAATGGGGCTCGTTCCTTTTTTTTTTTTTTTTTTGACCCGCTCCCCTTCCCCTTAATATGGAATGGTACTTTTGTGCAGTGCTAACGGGTCTACTGATTAGGCGATTACGTTCATCGAACAAGGTCATGTGCGTGTCGGGACTGAGGTGGTCACTGATCCTGCGTTCCTGGTGACCCGGAATATGGAGGATTTCGTGACATGGGTTGATTCCAGCAAGATCAAGCGTAACATCATGCGCTACCGCGACAATCTGGACGACTTCGATTTGATGTAAATATACCCTGGCATCTACTATGGCGTTGATTGGAAGTTTTTATAAAAGGATTTGTATTGTATAGTTGGATAAGCGTGATTAATAACGATTATTAATAACGTGTGTATCTGGGTATCATAATATCATCTGATTAGGTGATTAGAGCGAAACAGTAGAGCAGGTCGTATACTCCTGCAATCAATGCGTGGTGCAGTGGCGGTGGTCGTGGTATCATGAACGCAAGCATTCTGTCAAAAATGGGGTGCCAATAGAATCAAAAGTCAAAAGAAACGGATGGAGTTAAACAGCCGTGTGTCTCCTCCCCCCAAGTCTAAACCCTCCCCGACGAGATCTAGCCAGCTCCGGCTCGTCAGGGAGATCCATTCGAAACCGCCTCACGCTCCCCTCATAGTTGGCTTTCCCGTTCTTATCCGGCTCGAAGAACGGCATCCTATCATTTCTAGACTGGCACCATCGCGGCGCGACTTTACGCCATAGTCCTCGGACACCATGACTGGCGCGGTCGATCTTTGCGTACTCCCGTCGTCGGGTGGAGGGGGAGGTCCAGTCGATGGCCGTATTGACTGTATTTGACGGTTCCTTGCATGGAGGCTCTGCGGGAATCGGGTATATCGTACTGGGCCGGCCATGGTCTAGAGATCGATCGGAGATAGAAGACTGCGCATATAACCCCGGCGACAACGGTGGCGAGCCTATATCCGACGACGCAGCGGAGGATATATGCTGAACGGACATTTTTGTCGAAACCGGCGGGGGAGACAGGACTTCCTGGCCTGGGACCTGGAATAAACGGCATGATTCCCGATGTAGTGCTAGAAGGCTCTCTCGCTTCTGACCCGGCGGACGGCGACTCGCGCTACGTACCGACGGAGTCAGGGATGCTGAAGTAGGCACCCGACGGGGCGAAGAATGTCGCGAACTGCGACGGCTGGTAAGGTTTGAGTGAGCCGTACTCCGGGAAGTTGGTCGATAGTGGTGGGACGAGGCATGGCTATAGGAGGACGGAGGCGAGGAAGTCGCTGTGCGCGATCTTTTCGGGGTGTGACGAGTAGTAGGCGAGCCGAGATCCATAGTCGAGGCTGTCGAGGACGAAGGCTTCCTCGAAGCAGTTGTTATGACACCATCCGGGTTGATTTTAGTGGTTTCTGGAGTCGAAAGGGATTTTGTATGAATAGAAAAGGAGTTGGCCATAAAGGAGAAATAAGGCAACGAGTGACAGGGTGAATTGGACGAAAACGACGAAACGCAAGGGTGCAACACAGACAAGATGATGTCAGGTGTGTACGGAGTACGCCAGGTACAAGTCACATGCAAACGGGTGCCTATAGAGAGAGACAAAAGACGCTCAACGTCTGTAAAGAATATTATATGCAGAAATGCTCAAGAAATGCAGAAAGTGAAGAAATGCAGGACATGCGGTTTATAAGGCTTTTCACCGACGGAATAGACTATTCTTTAGTGTTTTTAGCGTCTTTAGCTTCACTTCGGTCAGACCAATTTCTTGTTGTTAGTTCTATTTTTTGTTCTTTTTGTTCTTTCAGTTCTGTTGTTTGCTGCCTGGAATGTTTATTGTTAATTTTCATCCATTCATTCACCTTTCATCGCATCTGTCCCATCCATATACCATAATTAACTGTCCCTACTCATCCTTCTGTAAGTATCTGTACGTGCCCCTCGCTAAGAACCCGTGGCGGCAGTGACAGGCACCAATCACCGGGCCGGAATTCCGCATTCGTCAGGCGCTTTCCGGTTTCAAGTGGCGCGCGCTTCCACTTGCGATTCCCCGGCCAATCACCGCTGCCAAACTCCTACCTTGCCGATCTGGTTCGGTACTTCCGCTGCACGGACTGTGTCTAGGCAGTCTTATTGGTAGATTCCCCTGACCGCCACTCTGGCGACAGCGGTGACTGGTCCCATGCTTGACCCGCTGCTTTGGGTTAGCGTTGTTTTATGATCTTATCTTGATCAGTGCATCGACTCTGTGCTTGGATTATTGATTCCGGAATGTCACTAGAAACCGTGGAATATTCTGAATTGAACATGAGTGCACGGAGTACCTGTATGGGGGATGTCAGAAAGACGATTGTCACCCAGTTCCTGGGCTACTACTGCCTCCGCCAACCACGGTCCACACCAAGTAGCCTTTTTCTGCGCTGCTAATGTGCTTTCGTTGGGATTTCTCGGAGGGCCCACTGCAAGGAGACGCACGAATTTCCGTCCTTGTAGAAAACTAGCACTTAATAAGTTGCTCATAGATATTAAGTATTATGTCGAATAACTTTTACGCAGGCTGTTCACTCTGACAAGCGCACCACGGTAGCCCTATTTCACCTATCCTGTATACGAACCAATCGAATTTCGTCCACAACTCATCTGCCTCCTCGAGCCAGAAAATCATCCAGGCACTTCGTTCAATTGCCTCGCGACCCATTTGATGACAAACCACTATCGTCTCTTGCTACAGCCTACTCCCCCAAAATAAATCCCAGCCATCCCTCCTTTTCTCTCCTTCAGCCGTTCCCATCGTGCTATAGTTGACACTATATAGTAGTATTGGTTGTTTTACTAGTCTCTCACGCTATGTCCACCCACCCAGTCACAGACATAAACTCCCACCTCACCTTCATCACTCTCATCGTCCACGATGCCATTGAGAATCTCTCCTCCCAACGCACCCACCCCTCCTCCACCTCTCCATCTCTCTTCTCTTTCATCCGCGCTACCAACATTTTCATCACCCAGCCCATTGACTACGCTACCACTACCAGCAACTCCACGAGCCTCTAGAAGCCACAGGCCTGCTGATACAGCGGAAGAAACAGACGGTACAACCTATCTATACTATCTCTGAGTCAACTCTCTCAGAAGAACAACCACTCAAAGAACCAGTGATCGATGGACACCTGCTCAAATTCCGCTGCGCGAGCTGTATATGGGAAGGCAGATATCGCCAGTGCCGGAGTGTGAATCGGCAGAGCCACATCGACGAGCGCAACCTGAACGACAAGTTCTATCACTATAATCCGGCGGAAGATGAGCGTCTGCATTACCGATATTTCGAGAGAGTGTGCATGACCGTTAGGGGCGAGAACAGCGATGGGCGCAGCAGGTAGCTCTGGCGTTGGCGTTGGAGCAGCGCCGTCGACAAGACGAGTTGCTCTATGTTGACTGCGTATTGTGTATATACAGGCGTTGCCGGTTATGTGTTCGTACGACGCCGAGGGTTACATCGACGTCGCAGGGTGAACAGGGCGAGTGGCAGGGTATGAGTCGGAAGGGGAAGAAGGCGAGGGGGCGTGTTTGAGTCTTGCCTGGTTGGAGTTGGGGTTGGGATACATTAGGAAATATGCATTATACTGTCTATAGCAAAGCATCACTCATCATCACTTCAATATTTGATTAATCGTAAATGGTAATCCAGTTACCTAACTATGTCCATAACAATAACCACATGCATAGTATACTCCCAGAGTAAGCCCTACAACGAATAGACAAACTCACTATTCTCCCAATCAGTCAAATCCAACCACCTGCATCTAGTTAGCAACCGTCACTCTCCAAATGGCAGACAAGGGCAACGTACTCCTGATTCTCCAACCGCACATAATCCTCCCTTGCTCTGATCCCTGCCTTCTTGTTGTTCTCCTTCTTATACCACCACCAGATGAAGCCCAGAATCAGGAGACACACGCCCCAGCAAACAATAATTGTAATTTCGGCGGGGACGTAGCGCGGTGCATCTTTGGGGCGGAAGACTTGTGGTCCTTTATCATTATCAGCATTCATCCTGTTACTAGGGTAAGATAAAGGGAAGTTACCAATGATATTCCCCGCACAATACCCAATCAAATAAAGCGCCGCCACAGTTGTCTTCTTCGTATATCCAGCCATATTACTCGACACCAACGACAACAGCGCCACAAACGGCGTTGGACTCGCCTGCGTCATGTAGTACCCAATCAACCGACCTACGTCGTTGTCTAACGGCAGCGCAACAATAAGCACCATGCCTATGATTGCGCATATTAGGCCGCCTGTGCTGCATAGGATGCGTTGTTGGGTGATGTGGCTTGTGTAGCCGCTGGCGAGGAGGGCGATGACTTCGACGACGCCGCCAGGGACGCCGTAGAGGAGAGATTGTTCTTCGCTGTAGCCAAAGCTTGTGATCTGTGCTCGTTAGTGAAGCCTGGTTTTGATTGAAAGGGGAGGGGAAAGGGCGTACCAATTGGTTGAAGAAGTTGGTGATACCTCCGTTCGGGATATCCGCAATAAGCGCAACGAAGAAGAACGCCCATGTCATGGGGTCTATCAACGCTTCTTTCACCTGATAGAACTTGAAATGTTTATTTCCAATACCCTGTTGGTTAACCCTCACTCGCGCAACAGCCAGCATCCGATCTTCCTTCTTCAACCACCTTGCGTTCAACTGGCTATCCGGCACAATCCAGAGGAATATCAGCCCCAGAGCGAGGGTCAACAAGCCGGTAAACAGGAAAACAATTTTCCAAGACGCAATAGCGGAGCCATGACGCTCTGTGCCGATGGCGATACCATAAGCGACGAACCCACCCAGGACCTGGCCCCAGCCATTAAAGCTAAACCAGATGTTGACGCGACTAGCTTGTTCTTGCTTGGTGTACCATTGCGAGGTAAGGAGTGCAAAGCCGGGAGTAACAGCTGCTTCGAAGACACCGAGGCTGGTTGGTTAGTATGCTTTCAGGTGAACAATTGTGTTTGGACGTACAAGAAGCGGATTGCGATGGCACCAGGGTAGTTCTTCACGGCTGCGAAGCAGCAGAGAATCGCGCCCCAGATTAGGATGCAGGCTGCTGAGTATTTACCCAGGGGTAGACGCTGAAGGAGGAGGTTTGTTGGGTATTCCCATGCGAGGTAGCCTGCAGTGGTCAGATCTAATTCGGATTGAAGGGGTCGATGGTGCATACCGAAATAGAACAAACTCCCCAGCCATTGATATTGATCTCCCACTAGACTCAGGTCTTCTTTGATGCCCATGACACTTGCGTAGGATAATGTTGTTTCTATAGCAATGACCGATTAGCATCACCTGCGGAGATGTAGTACAGTAAATGAGGGAGGCATACTGTCCAGATAATTCATCCCATAGACAAAGCACATAATTGGCATCAAATGCCAGTCGATAATCTTTAATAGCCGCTTGTTCGTTCCAGCGTCAAGCTCAATAGTCTCCCCCTGCAGCTCCTCAAAGGCGTTCAACGCCTCGTCCGCATCATGGGTGCGAGCCGGTTGTTTCTCCATAGAGACATCTTTTTCGATGTCCACGGTAGCTGGTGGTTTCTTGTCTGTCATGATTATGATAATTAGAAAGACATAAATGGAATTAAAGAAAGAGAAAATAAAGAAGGGTAAGATATAACTAGACCCCTCAGCTAGCTAATGGCGACCCTATGTACATATGGCATAATCTGCACGGAGTACATTGCATGTCACCCCCTTCCGCATTGGCCGCTCTTATCGTTGATATCCGGGGTACAGCATCATTCAAACATCTGGACTAGGAAATACCGAGCGACGATGCACTGGTGAGAAAAGAGGAGGTCAGCGAATGACAGTCCACGATACGAGGAATGGCTGTTATCAGCCGACGGACTGCGGGGAAAACCAAACAAAGCGAGATAGGAAGGATTATGTGGTTATCTCGGAGTACGCTGAATGGATGGATTCAGCCTATCGGTATGATATTGGATTGGATAGTGTACAAACAAGGCGCTGATTGTTGATATGACATGCTTCCGCTGAGCTGCTGTCAATATACTAGTCATTCTCCGGTATCTTAATCTGATAAGACGTGCCATGGACAAATGTAATAGCCCGTTCAATACTTTAGCACTAATTTCCAGCGACACGAGCCGTATACGCCTCCCATCCGGCCTGTTGATACTGCTTCGCCGCCTCCACCGGGTCCGGTGCTGCATAAATCCCTCGACCAGCAATGATAAAATCAGCCCCCCTTCCAATCGCCGACTCGGGTGTCTGATATTGCTGCCCAAGTTTATCCCCCTTGGACGCAAGATTCACTCCCGTCGTAAAAACAACAAAATCCTCCTCCTCCGAAGCAACACTACCCTCCGTCGGCACCTCCCCAAGCGACCGCGTCGACACAAATCCCAACACGAAACCCTTGAATTTCCGCGCGTGGTCCACAGATGCCTTAGTATATTCACCCGTAGCCAGCGATCCCTTTGAGGTCATCTCAGCCAGAATCAACAAGCCACGCTCGCGGCCGTAGGGGAAATCCGCGGCGGAGGCGGTCTGCGAGAGTGCATCTACAATACCCTCGCCGGGGAGGATGCTACAGTTGATGATGTGCGCCCATTCGGAGATGCGGAGGGTGCCGCCGTGGTATTGCTTCTGAACGGTGTTGCCGATGTCGATGAACTTGCGGTCTTCGAAAATGAGGAAGTTGTGCTTTTCTGCAAGGGTCTTGAGCCCGGTAATCGTTTCCTCGCTAAAATCGGAGAGAATGTCGATGTGTGTTTTTATCACGGCGATGTGAGGGCCCAGGCCTGTGAATCAATAACAGGTCAGTTTGGGTTTGCCTTGCATCGCGTGGCATTAAGCTCAAAATTGTGACTTGTAGAGCAAATTACATACGATCGGCTAATTCCAGGAGCTCCTTGGTGGTTGTCACGTCCGCGGAGACAGTCACATTGGTCTTTTTTGCTTCTGCGATTTGGAATAACCGCTTTGCGAGCGCATTGGGGTGGTTGCTGGCGCGAGCGCTGTAGGTCAATTGCGACTTGGACGACATTGCTGTTTTGTATTCCAATTTGAACAATTCAGTCACCACGAGTCACTCTGTTATAACGATCCTCTGCAGTCTCGACAATTGAAGAACATCCAGTGTGAAATAATTGTGGAACTGAATGTGACAATATCTAAAATCCTTATCAGTCCCCGCGTGCACCGCCACATATACCGCCCTCCGAAAAGCCACATGTGGCGCAGCTATACAAGTAAGAGTACAAACACTTGTCATTCAACAAAAAATCATAATGAGTATGTGGTATTACTCAGGGTAGATCTAGTAAGAAATCAAATCCTTCCCAACCCCAAACACACTCAATCCCCACAAAGCCCCCTGCGCCAACCAAAAGAAACTACCCATCAACCGTCCCTTACCCTGTGGCTTGCCCGAGTAGACATATCCATAAAGGAACACAGACCGGCACACGAGCCATGCGGCGCCAATGCTAGTAGCCAGTCCGGGGTACTTGAGACCCGCGACAAGCGTGAAGAGCATGGTCTGCGGAGCGTTCTCGAGGAAGTTGCCGTGGGCGCGCTGGGCGCAGTTAAATTGTTCGGCTTTGGGCTGTGCACAGCTTAGCATAGCACTTGGTTAGGTAGAGAGTGCAGGGATAGCTTACGTTGGACTTGCATTGCTCAATGGTCGCGTAGCTGTGGGGATAGGGCACGTTGGCTTCTTTGCGACTGCTGGTCACGATGAGACCATGGACGAAGCCTAGGAAGGGGATCGCGCCTAGGGCAACGGCGATGACGGAGCTGGGAACAATTGTTAGAATTGGTTCTTTGTTGGTTTCGTACGTAGTAGATGTTGATATTAAGATTGGCGCGGAGACTCACCCGTAGCTATCCGGAACACTGATGACAACCATGATGTGGCGTGTAGAGTCAGTATATCTCTATTGGGGATATAATTCAAGAAAGCAAACTGTCTGTCTTTGAAAGGAATAGTTCTATTTAAGGTCAACACTTGACATCAGCGGCTGAACTCCAACCCGTATCCGAACACCCGGATCAACATCGCCCCGATCCGGTGACACATCTAGAAGTGAATTCTACGGATAGAAATGGAATTGCATGGAAGGAGTGTTCGTATAGACTCAATAGGGCCGGCTATTTCCAGTAAGCATAAATTTGCCAGGAACGTTGTTTGTTGTTTTGATTGGTGGGCGTCTCGGTTGATGCCCCTCTTTCGGCTACTATATATAGATGGCACATTAAACATCAATATGGCTATATACCTATACATGCCTGGGCTGTCTGCACCTCGTCCAAAAAGTACACCACGATGGAGATGGTTAAAAAGCGCAATCAGCGCAACCCCCTTGAAGCTGCCGCGGATTCTTACATCAGCAATCAACCAAGAATCTCTATGGGTCGAAGAGAACTAGTTCGACTTCCCATTCAAAACTAAAAAGTTGACATACAGACAACTTGCAAACAGTGTCGCAGCCTCAAACCCATCAAAATACAAACTGACGTCCTTCATCCCCATTCCCCAGGCAATGAAGATGGCCAGCGGGATAACCAACAATGCTGTCTACATACATTTCCCAACCATCGCTGCAATGCATCTATTTATAGCCCGAGCATTAGTTGGATGTTCGACAATAGGCAGGCTGCCGACAGGTGGGGTCTACAGGGCTACAACTTGATTGTTTTCTCGGGAGAAGAATTGATGTTATCGGTGGGGCGGCATTGTTTTCGTCTTCATCAGCCATCGAACAATTGATTGAATTTGAGGACATACCTGAAAATAATACTCATCAAATTACTAATGAGCGGCTGGCATCGTCGTTGGATCTTCATGATGGAAAATTTGAGAAACACAGAAGGCCCAACGATGACAACGAAGCCTATGAAAAAGATCACTGGAACGCTCTCATGAGTGTGGTTAACTGCGGAGTCAGCTCGGACGAATATCAGGAATAGATTTGCCCATGAGCAAGAAAAGGCTTTGATAAACTCTTGAGAGGATGGTATTGCGCTCCTCCAGTGTGTCATTTGGGTTGTCGAAGACGCGGCTTTGGCATATTAGCGATGATTAGCAAGCACAAACAATCATTCTCGGGCGTGAGATTCAAATCTCCATGAAACCCTGGGTCTCTATACATGTCAAAATATGGGATTCATGATATTCAGGTCTGTGTATACACAACCTTGCGCAACTCTTAAGGATTTCCGCTAGATAGACCAGCTGGCAGCCGCTTGCTAACCGGAATCAACCCTCCTATGGTTGAATTCACTAGCATGAATGAAGCTATTAACTGTTCGCATCTCAAGGTCTACAACAAGGTTATACCAAGACCACCAAAATCTCAATATATACATTTAAAAAGTCGCCACAATGCCACAAACCTAGCCCCTGCTTACACTGCCATACTTCGCCTGCCATGCGAAGAAATATAGTAGGGCGCCCAGCGGTTGACCAACAACGCAGAAGCTCACCCAGAAAATACAGTTGCCAACCACTTTACCTAGGGGGTCATGCATTTTCTCCAATGGTGTGGTGATGGCGATTAAGGGGAGCTGAAACATCATTCCGAAGAATGCGACTCCTGATATCATCGTGAGTGAAAGCGCATTTACTAGAAATAGAGGGAGACATACCAATAATGTTGTGAGTGGGAATTCCGACAAGCATCTCATGGAGCACGGCGGAAATGAAAAATACCATTGTGCTCGCCGCAAAAGCACTCCACCCTCGTCCTACTAACGGCGAGTACACATGTCTCTTCATGAAGAGATACACTGGTCGGTTCCAAGACCGCCAGTAGGTTCCCAGACTGGAGCTATTCCACCAGTCCGTGTAGAACTCGCGGTCACCAAACCGCATTACTTCAGCTAATGCGTTCAACAAGGATTGGAAGAGAGCAAAGAAACCTGCTAACCAGATGACCAGAGAAATGGTGGACAGTTTCATGACTCTCTCCAAAATGGATGCAATATCCATGATGGCGATCTTATCAATTGAGTTCCGTAATGTCGGCGTGGCATACTGAGCTGAGAGAAGCCACATGAACACGGCTAGGCAGAAGAACTCCCCCAGACGTTTTGCCACAAAAGACCACCGGATGTGCGACGACCGGGGATAAACTGGCTGGTAAACCAGTGTAGGAGCTAACCAAAAGTATGTAAGGTTTCCAAGCGTAATGTTTCTAGGATACGGGCATGAAGAATAGATGTCGGGCAGGGCAGACTCTGAAGACGGATTGAGCATCGCCTGCCGAAAGTCTCGGTTGGTAAAGGCATAAGAGCAGTTCTTCAACCACACGATAATGGCGTGAACCTCACAGGCTGTTCCAATGCCCGGATGATGAATGTAAAAGTATACCACAAAGCTCGTCACAGCTAGACATAGTGTCGCGTTGAGCGTATGGAAGAATGCGGCAAATTGCCAGGTCCTTTGATACACCTGCTGCCCACGCTCGTTCTCTTCGGCAGATGCATCTTTCTTTCTCTGACCTACAGTGTTCTTGGCTTGTCTGGCGATAACAAGCTCAATCACATACGCAATGAACAGGTGGCAGGGAACAAGAGCAAATAGGATAGAGCCAAGGACAACGTCCTGCTTCCGGTAATCATGGCATTTGATGCAAATGAGCACACCATACTGAATACTTATCAGCCTTGTCCTCATCACATGTGCAGCTAACACGCAACTTACCTTCATGAAATTCTCAATGATCAAGCGAAAGTTCATCGCAACTATACCAAGTCAGCTCCTGAAGGGAACAACCACTCTGGAAGCCATCCTTACCCAAAACAATTACCATCAGATTGCGGAAACCGAGGAAGCTAGTGGTGGCACCCGAGTCTCTGCTAAGGCTCGAGTGCCGTAGCTTCGAATGGTAGGCCTCCACATGTCGATACTTGCTCCTCCGTGTTGTTCTCTTTGTTATCCCTGGATCTGCTTTGTCGGCAGGTGACGGAACGTTGTGCCGTGGTGCGTTCGAAGACCTAGACTGCAGCGAGAACTCGCCATTGCTGGTCGCAGTAGTCGTAACACTGGTTGTCGAATGTCTCCTGGGATTATCCATCTTCTTTGAAATTTCCACAAGGATGGTTGTGTCCAGAACGTTGTGGAAAGGAACGCCAAAAGCACAATATTTCCCCTCAGTTCCACGGCGGACAACGCTCGGACAGGATCACAATCCTAGACAGGCTTCGTTGCAATCGTTCATGACACGACTTTAGGATATAGCAAAGAGGGCGTGTACCTCAGCGGCATGACGAGTCCGATTGATTAACGAGGGGGAATGATGGGATGATGGCTCGTGGTAATACTGGAGCTGCAGCAGCCAATATATTAATAGGACGGGCCAACCATGGAGGTCTCGGATCGTGAAATTGACCAGGGGTTAGCGAGAATAAGTAACAACAGGAACTTTGTAGTTTTCGGGGCAACTAAATGCTAGAAATAATCCGTAGTATGATGGCAAGGTTTAATGACAGATGAAGCTCCAAGGCGGACGTCAGTTTCCTGTGACCGCCCAGCAGTTAAGTTGTAGCCGCATCTCCAACACTTCCTCCGCGACAACCACCGCAGGACTAGACCAGGTTAAGTCCTTAGGCTGGAATAAAACTGAAATTGTCATATTAATTTGCTTCTTTTGCCTGATTATACTACGGGCCTTCTTTTTCTGCCATGATTGCGATCTTGTCGCGTTCCTCGTGAGCTTTTCCCCGTGCAACAATCTTTCGATAAGCTTCTTACAGCGCCTGTCATGGCTTTTTACGACGATCACGGGGGCGAATCCCAGCATTTCGGGAGACCAGGGAAATTCGATGGCGGAGTCGCGGGACCACGAAGACCAAGTATGTTCTGTTTCTGATACAATTACCAAGCGCGGTTACTGACGGGCTCAAGGACTTGTGACCGATTACGGTTCGTCGCTGGTACAATGGATGCGCACCCGAAAGCCCCGGTACAAGGGAGGGCATGGAATGGAGGTTGAGAGACCAAGTGCAAGCTATGTTGTTGATGTGAGTTTTCATCTTACGCGTGAGAATTGGGGATTGTTGGCTGACATGGTTGCTTCCCTAGATGCTCCCTCCCATGGCACGAGTCCATTCACCTGCAGATACAATCCCCGTACGGCACTTACATCAGTCGATCGGAAAGTCGAAGAAACCAATCACGGTTGTGAGATGGACGCCGGAAGGCAGACGATTATTGACGGGTGGACATACTGGTGAATTCATGTTGTGGAACGGAACCGCATTCAACTTCGAAACGGTTATGGACGTACGTGCGGCCTTCATTGCTGGAGAATATCTTGGTTACTGATCTCCAAACAGGCACATTATGACCAAATTCAAGCAGGAGTTACGTCACTATCGTGGTCTCACAGTCAGGACTGGCTGATTTCTGGTGGGCAAAGGGGCGATATCAAATACTGGCGGCTAAATTTTAACAACGTCGAGACAATGGATGATGCGCATCATGACGCGGTTCGCGATCTGTCGTGGTCTCCTAGCGATTCGAAGTTCGCATCGGCCTCCGACGATACGACATTGAAAATTTGGGACTTCACGGCCATGGCCTGCGACACTACATTAACGGGTCACAACTGGGATGTTAAGTCGTGCGATTGGCATCCGACAAAGGGACTGTTGGTTTCGGGGTCCAAGGATCACCAGGTCAAGTTCTGGGATCCTCGGACCGCGCGGTGCCTGACTACGCTTCACAGCCATAAGAACACAGTGACGGCCACTCGATTTTCGCGCGTAAACAGCAATCTTCTCGCTACCTCATCGCGCGACCAGACCGCAAGGATCTTTGACCTCCGCATGATGCGGGACATTTGCATTCTCCGGGGCCACGAGAAGCCTATTTCGTCCTTGACATGGCATCCCGTTCACAGCTCACTCGTCTCGACAGGAAGCGAGGATGGATCGTTATACCACTATCTGCTAGACGAGCCCAATTTACCCTCGGGACAGGTTCCTACGATCTCCCCGTACGACAGTCCTGATCCGGCCAACACGCCGGCGCAGGTAATTCACCCGGCTCATCGTATTCAACACGCACATGGTGCGACAATCTGGTCACTCGACTGGCATCCGCTTGGTCACATTCTTGCTTCTGGATCCAAAGATAACTTTACACGATTTTGGTCTCGAGCACGGCCAGGAGAAACGGGTTACATGAAGGATAGGTTCCATATTGGAGAAGAGGCTGCTGAAGCCCAAGGAACTTGGAACCGCGGTTTCGGGAAGCGACAGATGCGTGAAGAGGAAGAACAAGAGATGCAGGACGAGGCGGATAGCCTTGTGGACCAAAGACAGCCACCAGGTGCTCTTCCAGGAATACAATCGAGCGGTACCGCTCAATCCGACGTAGCTGCCCAAGGAATACTACCCGGCATCGGTGCACCTCAGCCTCCGCCACAACCTAACACGGCATCTATGCCTCAAATGGATCCTGGCCGTCTGGCTGCTCTCATGTCAAACCAACCGCCACCCCAACAGAATTCAGGGCTTCCTGGGTTTTCCATGCCTCCTGCTATGCCCGGTATGAACGTCGATCTTGCGGAGCTGCAGAAACAGCTCATGTCCCAGGGTGTTTCCTTGCCTCCAAACCTTCCCACGCAAGGCTTTCCTGCGATGCCTGGATTAAATGCGGGAGGTCTTCCTGGTCTAGGTGGTGGTGCTAATGGTGGATTTGGAAGATAATTGGAAGAATTTGGCGTTCGATGGGTAATTGGTTTCGTTCTTGATACTGGTGTATCTTCTGGGGGTAGCATTTAACCATGTGTATTATAAATCTGGTGTTGAAAAGGATCGTGACATCCTTCTTGCATGTACCTCAATGTGATACCTTGATGGCGTTTCGGCGTGTTGAATCCGTTCGTCTTGTTCCGGTTGCGAAGCTAAGGTATAAGTTTATCTCTCTATCCACTTCGGGGAACTAGAAATGAACGATTCAATCCTTTCATTCTATGTCACAGTCCACCCTGCATCGGAAAGCTAGACAGTATCAAAACCATCACATTGACGCCACCCCATATCATAGGAAGCCATGTTGACATTCGGAAATTTCCAGATTCATAGACTGCTCCGAGACTGGTTCAATTAGCCTCTCGATCCTCGTGAAATCCTGCCAGGGAGTGAGAACTCACACTAAGCCAACGATACTCCCGGCCATAAGCGCCTGCAACCCCCCAATCACCGCGTATATGACTGGAATAATCAACCCCGTCTTCCAACTGCGACATTGCATAGCCACAGCCCAAGCTGCGACGGAGAGGTGGGTAGCCGCATAGAAAATGAACGTCCAATAAAGTGTGAATCGCCATATATCCTGTGTGTAGTAGAGATAGTAGGCATAGGTATTGTGAGTCGGGAACGGGTCATAAAGCGACGGGAACGAGGGGATTTCGTAATTGATCGGGACGCGGTTGTTGGTCATTCTCCTCAGGCCAGGATCGCCTTGGTCAATGTGGACGGCTGGCAGCAGAAGAACGTTTCAACATACTTTTTGGCGCAATTAATGGGGATGAAACGTTATTGACAAAGCAAGAAGCTGGAGCCGCGATAAGATCAAACCTCTTGTTTGTGCCGTTTGCATCTCACCGCCAGCCTCGGCAGGTGATCCGGGGTTCATCTCCGCGGTTATGGCGACGATGATGTTGACAGACATTCAACCACGACAATACTAATCCCGGCTCCTCAAGGTCATCCCATGCTCTTCTGAATATGGCCATAGAGCGGTCGTTGGCGACTCATGTGAGGTCGCTTCAGACTTCGTCTAGTCCCCAGGATGCTTTCACGTGAGATAACATGCTCCGACCGACATCTCCGAGATTCAGCTCAGCTAGCTAATACGAGAATACCAGACTGCTCCCAAGGGCCACTGGCTTCTTGTCTGTGTTGGGGAATCCGTTAAATGTCAGCCTTCTCGCATCGCAACTACTGACCGTCCCTGCGATATGGGACCATCCCGTGAATCTGCACGATTGTCGCAAGATCCTCAGCGTGTTCAACACGGCCACCATCGGTGTTATACAAAACGAAGAACACGGAGATAATCGGACTCAGTACGGAGGTCCAAGAAAGCTGAGCCGTGAAGCATGGATTAAGGCGGTGGTCAGCGGCGCGGACGAGAAGTCACCCCGATGGAGACACGTACTGTTACTGGGAGGAGTGTTGCTGGGAGGCGAGGGACAGAATCGCCAGGGCTTGCCGTGGCATTTGCGGACGAAATTGGAATCTGCCCTAGTGACAGCTGCGCAGCTTGCTTTGGAGGAGCGGGGTTCGCACAATGGCATTGAGGGCGCCTGCGTTCTAATGGTTTTGAACTACACTTTCGAACTGCTATCTGACATTGAAAGGGCCAAGCTGGACTACGACCGCTTGCTACCCATGATGTTACAGATCGCCTATAATTCGCGAGAAGGACTCGAAAGCGGGTATTTTATTGGGGCTGTTGACAACGATGTTGTGCAGGTCCCTGGCCAGAAATTCCAGTGGTCTCCGCATTCTGACACCTTTGCCCACGTCTCTGCGATCACGAACAAGCCACTTATTTCTGCACTGGGCCCGCTGTCTCGTCTCATTGCGCATGCAATTGAGAATGTTCGCGATCCGAGACTCGTCTCGCAATCTGTGGATATCATTGCGGATTTTTCTCGCACACTGATGGTACAGTGGCGGCAGAACAAGTTGTCCGAAATTGACCAAATTGAGGAGTCCTTGTTCTTAGATGCGGAGACATTGAGTACTACTGTTCCCATGCTGTGGAAGATTCTCCGTAACTGTCTATATTCGGTTGTGATTGTCCTTCGTGGCGCTTTTGGGAGGGTACTCAATGATCACTTCCTTTCAAATGATAAAAGTAGGCACCTATTTCAATATTCCAGATTTGTTCTTCTAACTGTTTATGCCAGGCGCTCCATACTTGTCAATGCAAGCACTTCATATACTTCGGAGTCTGTATTTCATCTCGTCCCGAATCGGCCAGAACTCGTCATCTCAGCACATGTTTGTCTCGTTGGCGGCCGTCGACATCCTCGCGCAGTATCCTGAATTGGTTGAGAATTTCCTCAGGAGTATTAAGCCAAATGAGCTTGGTCAGATCCCAGCACATCCACTTGAGCGGTGCCTCGACCTATTCTTCCTCAACACTGCTGAGCTATTTACGATCGTTTTGTCACCAAAGACAAGTGAGGAGCTGCTCATATCAGCTGCGGTTCCATACCTTGCTGCCGCTGCGAACAAGCACCTACTTCAGATATTCGAGGCCGCGCATAGTGTGGCTCTTGCTGTGTTCGCCATACCCAAGAATGCGTCCATATCTGCCAAACACCTGCCGTTCTACATCGATAATCTATTTGCTGTATGTATCCGAGAATGTGTGTTTCATTTGCATGACACTGACACTCACAGGTCTTCCCTCGCAATCTCTCTGCGCGTCAATTCCGCCTCGCCTTCAAGACGGTCATCCAAGTCACCGCTCCACCATCACTCATCGCCAACGACCAACCGCTTATGCCATCCTTCTTACTCGAGGTCCTATATGACCGCGCACTCAAAGCGTCTGACGAAATTCTCCCACAGCCTTCACAAGGCCTAGATGCGGACCCGAGCCAGACCCCATCACCACCCGTTTCCGAACAAGCTGCTCTAACCCTCGCCCTAATCGACTCCCTCTGCTTCCTGCGCGTACAGGATCTCGAAGAATGGCTCCCTCTTACCGCGCGCCTGCTAAATGTTATCCGTCCCGCCAACCTGCGGGATATCTGCATCGATCGGTTCTGGGATGCACTCAGTAGCGGCGAGATGGATGTTGATCGTGCGCATTACTGCGTTACGTGGTGGAGCACGAGAGGTGGACGTGAACTTGTGATTTTTGGCGGTGAGCCTGAGCAGCCGGAGGCAGAAGGGGCTTATATGAGTGGTGCGATTGGAGGAATTGCGCGGGAGAATAAGCTGTGATGCACTTTTGGGATATTTTAATTCGAGCGTATGGCGTTGGCTTATGTGTTATATATTACTGTATAGATATCTATAGTGTGGATCAGGTATACTTGAATTGCCCGTTTGGTCAAAACGCCTTATTGTCGATCTTAGGTTACAGCAGCATTGCCTCTGATATAGGAAAGTTGATTTGGACACTTCCCAGCGATTTGATTTCTTTCTATTCCTTCTATTCCTTCCTATGCCGATATTGCAGCACTGAAATGGAATCACTGCAAAGCCCAACCCACACTCGACTATGCTCTTAACATAATAACACAAGGTTTCACACAGCTCCCGGAAAAAGCCGAGTTACCGGGAATTAAGGGTCTGCGTATGGGGATGATTGGGGGGTGGGTGGGTAAGCGTAGTCTGATTGATGCGAGGGAGATGAAGGATGGGACGAATGTGGTCCTTGGAGAGGCTGAAATTGCTAGTGACTTTGATGGTATTCTAATGAATGAGAAATTCACAGCAGACAAGGCTGGAGTTCAATGTTGCGCTGGCCACACAAGGCAGATGCCATTCTGTGGGAATTAGTCATTGACATATCATGGATTCGGCTTTGCCTTTGATTGATAATGCTCTTGTGCCGTATCACCCGGAACAAGTTCCGGCTTGGGGGGAGCCTGAGGAGACTGAGGAGATTGGGTGTTCTGTTTTGCTTCGTGGGTGCGTGAGGACTTTGTTTGGGCGTATTCCTGTCGAGATGAGTGAGAGGAAGCGTGCTGGATGGGTTGAGGGGTTTGGGTTTTTTTTTTTTTTTTAATCGTGATCCTTGTGGTGTGTTGGGTGGTGTTTTCGTTTTGAAAGTTTATGCTGCGGTAGATTCTTGGTCCTTGTTCTTTGGGTGTAGGATGGTTATTTAAGGAGGCGATTGAAAACATCAAGAGTGATGATCCCGTCAATAAGGATAGTAGCAGGCTTTTCGAACTCGTTGACTGGGTATTCTGAGCTATCTCTCTGGATAAAAGCTAACGGAAAGAGTAAATAATTAAGCTATTAGTATGAGTCTATATCAGCCTGTCCTCAAGAATCTCTTATGTACATCAATCACTAAATACCCGGGATCCCAACCCAAGTAGTCTTCTTGTAATCCACATAATCGTCTCCGAAAAAACAGATTAAGAACTTCTCCTCTCCTATTAGCAGTCAGCATCAATCCAACAGCCATCGAAAGGCAAGCAGGGACAACTTACTCTTAATCCGACTAGAGAAGAACCTCCATAACACAAGCGCATAGCCCACAAAACAGACCACATTCCCCAGCACCAATTGTGTCCCCAACCCCCACCAGAAAAACCCAAAGTAGCTCGGGTGTCGCGAAATTGAATACACCCCGCTCCGTACCAGCACATGCCCCTCTTGATGTTCGACCTGCACGGTGTGGTTGAAGTTACTTCCCGCCTGGGCCATTGCCAGAGTGCGTACGACCTGGCCCAACACCATTAAGAACAACCCCAAAACCAAATTTATCTTAAGACCGGAGGCGTCTTCGATGTTGAGAAAGTAATAGCGGCTCTCGGGGAAAAAGTAATATCCGATAAGACATTCTAGCATCGCGGATCCGTGTGCGATGTTGTATGCCCAGCCGTTGCTGGAGAGAAGGAACGCGGAAACAGATGCATAGCGCGTGTTATGCGCTGCGGTAACGTAGAACTCAAGGAAGTGAAAGAGCGACAGCGAGGCGAGGAAAAAGGGGACGCGCCATAGGGGCGTTGGCTGGAGAAAGGCGAAGAAGAACGTGACACAGGTTGAAAGTCCTAGTGTGATGCCGATGAGAAAGGCTCGGAGGGAGATTCCGGAGAGGGATTTCTCGCCATTGGGGTAGTTGGACGGGTCAAGGGGTGGTGAGGGTTTCGCTTTTCGTGCTGTTGTTGCTGATGGTGTTGGTGATGCGGAGGATCGTGAGCTTGAGCTCGAGGTTGCTGGGTGAGGGGGACGCCAGGTTGGGAACTCGGGGCCCTGGTGAACCTGGGAGCTGGAAGAAGCATTTATTGTCATGTTTTCATTTATTGGGGTTGTTTTTGGGTTGCTGAGAAAAGTCGCGGAGAGTCAACGTTGCGGAGATTTGATGACCGGCGGAGGTGAAGATAGGATGCGACTGAATCTCCGAAAAAGCAACTAGCCGCGAATAGAATGATTTAGGCCGTGAGATATTTTTACTCTCTTATACTGACATCATATCAATGGGAGGTATGTTTATTGATTGTAATTGAGAACAATAATAAGGATCGTCGAAGAACAATGGCCGGGAAGAGGAACAATATGTCTACATTACAGTATTGACTCTAGAACACATCATATCTCAAGTAGCCGATCAGGATAATGATCACCAAAATTCTCCTCATCCTCAGAGCATTGTCGAGCTTTGAGCCTCACAAGCTCATCCATTCCATGTTTTTACTCTTGGTTCAGAAACTCGATACGGTATTCAAGAGATGAGAATGTCCCGCGGGTCGATGAATATCCAATAGATCTCATCGAGCATGGAGCTGTATCTTGCTGCCAGGCATACCCAAAATAACCCAGTCTCCATGGAGTCTTTCATGCATGGGGAGGGGCGCTGTTGTTCAGAGAGGGCATTTTTCTTCTATCAGCTTGTCCTCGCAGTCACCTAGGAAAGCATGCAATCTGGAAACATAACGAATCAGAAACTGGTTGGGATCGCCGCTCAATCCTCTAAGCTTTTCAGCAGGAGCCAACAAGGACCTACGCATGTAAACTCGGCCGAGATAGTATAAATGAACTCCCGGTCAATCACTCCCGACATGCTGAAGGTCTGGAGATTCATTATGATGTTCGAAGGACAAAAATTGTCACATTATAGTCGAAAGGATCCTTGAGGATGCTCAGGGCGTGGTTTCTTCGTGATATCAAGAAGAAATAAGCAACGAAAAATATACTTTCTCCAACAGTCCTCCTCACTGTGGACAGCGTATCTTTTCTGCAGCTGAAGATGGAGAAGATGTTGCATAGCAAGCAATTCAAAGTAGTCTATTGCTGATGATAATTCCAGCATGACATAGGCCATTTCGCGATAAGCCCACTTCAGGCTTCAATCACTCATTTGCGTGTTCAGGACCGGCCTTCCTTCTTTAGAACGACCTTCGATGAGTTCTGATAAAGTCTGTCCTTCAAGAAACAGCATAACAATGCAGGGGCCTGCCCAGCAAATACCAGAATCGAGCACTTCAGGAACAGATATCGGAGCGTTTTGGCGTATGTACTTCATTGTTACGACTTCATTCCGGGTTTTGCCTGTACGAAGAATGGCCCTTCCGAGAGTAGCAAAACGAACAATGATGTGCAGTCCATCTTCGTATTTGATCCGGTAACATGTAGCGGAAGCGCCGCTTTTCCATAGCCATGCCGTCAATGTTTTGCCTAGTCAATGCTTTGTAGCAAGTCGCATAGACAGAGTTTCAGGGGACTTGCTCCGAAAGAACTTTAACTGGACAGTAGATTTCTGTTCCTGTTTTGCTTCAACATAATGGTCAACTCCATATTATCTGGTGGCTGTATAAAGGGAATTAGAGCAATGCTGTGTGCATCCTTTTATGTCATGTTTGGGAATCGCTCCAGTCACAAATGACTCTGTGGCTGATATTGTTAAATACAGGGATTTGCAGTAGACGCTACTGTCGACATAATGGGTGATCTACTATGTAGGTATGATGATGCAGTTAAACGAGGGTGTCGGAATATAGAGGTTCCTTACCGAACAATACCAACTGATGCCTGATTGATGCCTTGCTGATATCATATGGCGAAAAGCAGCGTATTTACT